CAAAATCACATAAAGTCATATTATAACATCAATTGAGATAAAGAATAAAATGAAATATTAAAATCACGATGTATTTCGCTGCATTGTGCGAGTACGATTCTAGTATTGCATATATGTCGATCTTGATGTTATCACAGATAAAATAAAAATCTTCAAATTTAATATGTTTGAGAAATAAAATAATATTTTAATTTATTCGCACAAATAAAAAGCATTAAAAAATAGAAAACTCAAGAGAGAAAAATAATATATTATTAAATGTATTGAATATTTTAATAATATAATTAAAGAAAAAAATCTTTAAAATAAAGTAGCTCTTGAAATTTTATGTATTTTTTTTAAAAAAATTTGATTTTGATATTTTATTTTAAAAATGCGGTTGAAAATGCTCTTAAGTCAAAATAAAAGGCTTCCTACTCCAAAAGGGTCAACCTCCCAAATAACTTCTGGGTCACCGGTAGATTTCAATCTTCTGTGGTCAAGGGTGCAAGTCTAATAAAAAATGAGGAGTGTGTGCGTGTGTGATACAAGGAGGTTTGAATGGGCTCAAACCCACGATCTCTAACGAGGTTGGGAATTTGGGATATACGGGCAACCCAGGTATCAATTGACCCATTTGATTAGTTCTATGTTCTTCTTGGCCATTAAAACCACCTGCAGCTACATCTTGAAAACAAGTCATGGAGAAAAAAGACCATGAAAACATCAAAATTTCTTCCCAAAATGTCACAGAATCAAAACACACCAGATCCTTCGACGAAATCATACATGCGAACTCCGATAACTAGTAGCATACAAACAACCTAACAACAATCAGATCACGATCCCGGATTTTGTTGGGCAAAACCCGATATATCATACATCTAACATTTCACAACAGCAGCAACCAAAGTAAGCCTACTCTAACAAGATCGATCCGAGGCTAAAATACTTCAAAAACCAATGTAATAAAGTTTTCCAAGTCAATTAATAAAGAAATCAGTAACATATACTATATGGTATATGATGATCAAATACCGATCAGCAAGAAAGCTGAGATTGTGATGTGTGGGGCTCTATCGGTTCTGACCCGTTCAAAGATCCATTCTTTTCGGTATCGATATTTGTAGCCTCATGTATGGAGTTTGTGGGTGAAAAGTTTAGATCTGGTTCATCCCCATTAGCCCTGGTGGTTGCTTCTGGGAAGATAGGAGGAGGAGGAGAGATGGTTGCAAATTGTTCAAATCTTGATTTCTGGTGTTTCTGCTGCTCCTGTTGGCAACCAAGAAGAAAACTGCCAACTACAACCTAATCATGCCAAAAAAAAAGTGTTCAGATTATTGAATTGAAGCCATAAAGATTTGAACATAAAGTAATTAAACTTTTAGACTATATTTGGCAAACTAGCTGATAAACTAGTCATACGTTTCAGGCTGTGTTTACAACTAGCTGATAAGTTAGCTGATAAAGTGGTCATGTTTGGTAAAAACTAAACAAACGACAATGTAAATGACCCAAGAGGCTAGCTTATGGCCGACTAAAGAGGCTTTCCCAATAAGCTAGCTTATGGCTGCCAGACAGCATATTTATGGAAGAACGTGTAACCTGAACAGGACCAGCAGCCACCAGCATACCAGCAAGTCCTCCACCCAAAACACGTCCATCGGGGCCTGCCAGAGAAACACTCATCCCACCAGATCGACCTTTTGCCCCTCCACTCTCATTAGGCATGAACGCTCCAGATAACGAAAGAAGCTCAAACCGACCCTGCACCAATTACACGATTACAAAAATTAACAAGTATCCGTTTGGTTATTATTTTTCCATCAAAGGGATTTCTTACTTTTATTGGAAATTTCCATTCAAGAAAAAAGAATATGGTCGCACCTCGTATGTTAAAGTTCCGCCACATGAATTAGGTTGACGGAGGGTAACATTAGAAATTGCACCATTTGCAGTAAGGATACAGATAGCTCGAGACCCTTGTTGAGCAAATGATATGATCTTCATATTAACATCCTGAAACCACCACAAAGAACAAAGATAACACTTTAAAACAGACCGGCATTTCTACATAAATTTTTACATCCCACAGCTTCGGCAGATCGCTTAGCCCCGTTCATCTTCGGCGCAAGAGCGCTCGACCAGTGAGCTATTACGCACTCTTTCAATGATGGCTGCTTCTAGGCAAACCTCTTGGTTGTCTCTGCACCCCTACCTCCTTTATCACTGAGCGGTCATTTAGGGGCCATAAACCCATATGATTCGTCAGAAAAGGGGATGATAGCTACTTTTTTATGTCTAACATGATTATTAATCACTCGTTGGATTTATTCGGGCCATTTCCCACTAAGTGATTTATATGAATCATTAATCTTTCTTTAATGGAGAACGCAACCAACTTTATTCTTATTTTAGAAACAAATAGGTTGTCTTCATTCATGGTTCCATCTTATCGGTTCCAAATTTCGGGGAAAGGTGCAACGAGGATGTAATACGAGAAAGGAAAATAATAATCAAACGGATACTATAAACGTACCTCTCCAACATTGACTGTGATCACATGAGGAGTAAAATTGGCACCAACGAAGTATGCCACCCGTTCACCTACAAACATCAATATCAACGGGTTCACATTACCAATCACTTGGGTTCTCATACATACGTGTGTACAAATCCAGATAATCCGTGCGTACATACATACACACATATACATACACACACGTGTATGCATGTATATATGTGCTTATATACTTACGAGTGTATCGGTTATCAAGCGAATTGTCATCAAATCAAACATATTTAATAGATTCCACTCGAAAGTAGGGTCTAGACTGATAACACACGGCACTCGAAAAATAGTTGCTTATCTGTTGGCCCTCTAACCATCCCCACATCTTCAGTAGCAAGTAATCTGTTACCCTAATCCTGTGTCTTCAATAATTCTATCAGATTTCAGGTCCTAAATTACTATCCATTTTAGAAAGAGAAAAAATGAAGGGGACCCTTTTGGATGGTTTCAAATTCTCCCAACAAAAAGAGGGTAAAAGTTCCCAAAGTGCATAAATATTCTCTTGACAAAAATGAATGGATATGAACAGTAAAAATAGAGCAAATCTGCAGGTATAAGCCAATGATTCTGACAACATCCTCCCATTCTTAGGGACCCATGTCTTACATTAAAGATCCAGGGTCCATTGTTCAAATCCACGCTTATTAAGGTGGCATCAATGGGTGCCAACAGAAAGTTGACAATTTTCTAAAAGAACATCTAGGGTTCATAATCAAAACATGAATACTTGTATCAGAGTTTATAAAACTTACCTGGATTGACAAAATCCAATCTTTGTTTTTTCTTGATGGAACTCACGGACTTCCCTCGACTGGGTTTCCAACCGGAGCAATCTCCGGTGATCGGAATTGATGCCGAAAGTGGCATCGGAGACAGCGCCACCGCAGGTTTCCCATCGGGTCCGTACTTTCTTGGTCTTCCCTTTTTTTTCTTGAAACCATCTGTGCCAAGTGTCACTACACCCATCTGACCTGCCAACAGTTGTGGGCCTGGTGGTGTTGCCGTTGACCCACTGAGATTTTCTTCCTGGCTTGTCACCGCCGCTGCCGCCGGTAAGGCTATGGCTCCTGAATCATGATTCTCTTCAGTACCCTCCATTTTTTTTTCCCAAACCCACTTGATTTTTTTGAACAAGATTCTTAAACCCTAACAGTAATTACTTAAAACCATAAACATATAATGAAAAACAAATCTATTGTTCGAGGGAAAACGGTGAATGTAAGCAAAATAAACATCTTTCATACACCATTTTCGGAAAAAAAATAATGTATGAGTAAAGAAATTTAACAATGAAAATGGCAAATTCCTTCCAAAAAAAATACAAAAAGATTGAAATTTAACAGTTTGATATCAAGAACTCCAACAGTTGGAAATCAACTCAAAACGAAAATTACAGTTCTTTGATCATAATTCTCTTTTTCTCTGTAGTTACAGCATGCACAGAACATCAATTCTTTAAAAAAAGACAACCTTATTTTCTCAGAAATTTTCCAATATTTAAGGAAGAAAAACACGATCAAATTTTATAGGATTGCCAGAAACAATTTCAAGAAATGAAATTAGGGTTCTGCAGGAAAAGAAGAAGGTAAGGAAAATAAAGTAGGAAATGACGATAAATAAAAATGGGGATTTATTAAAGTATTGGGAGGTTTAAATAAAATACTCCTATAGCATATTAATATTGAAATTAATTGCAATTTTTAAATTCAAATTCTTTTATAGAATATTATCATGTATATTTAATGTCATGAAATTTTATTTATAAACAAAACGTTTTCTCCATAAATTAATTTCTAAAATTCAATTTCGATTTGTGAAATTAATTGGTGGAATATTCGACTACACGATTTAAATATTATTTTTCGTTAGTAATAATTATATGAAAGGTAATTAATTCAATATTCATATATTTTTTTGCTTTTTTTAACAAATCATTTTATTATCACTTTTTCAAACATGATATTCTGTTATCCCTTTGTTAATAAATCAATGCCATTGTTTTATAAACGTGTTTTTCAATAATTTTTCTAAATTAATTAATAGCTAATCGAATATTAGATAAAGGAACGATTTTTAAAATAATCAAATTTTAACAAATAGTTTTTATATATTTAATTAATAATTAAATAGATTAATATTGGAATATGTTATGATGTATAGTAATTGGTAATTTAAATTTAAATATTTTTGAAAATATTTTTTTTTCTAAACAAATAAACAATTAATAGGGTAATTTTAAACGAAAGGCTGTAAAGTTAACGTTGGGAATTGAAATAATGGCGCATAATATATTTTTCTACCTTTGACCACTTATTTTATTTTTAAGAGATCTTTGACCGTATTTTTTTTTTTGGGGTCCAATAATACCGGACTGAATTTAATTGTCATTAATCTAAAATGAAAATTAAAAAATAAATAAATATTAATAAAACCTACACGTTTTGTCGGGTTTTTTATTATTATTATAAAATAGAGAAAATAAAATAAATTTCCAAGTTTAAAATATTTTTTACAATTTAATTTAATGAGAGATAAATAATATATTTTTTTCCTCATTAATTACATATATGTATATGTATAAATATATATTAAAAGGTACTCGCGTAATGCAGCGAGACACATCTCGATTTTAATATTTTATTTTATTATTTGTCTCTGTCGATATTATAATATGATTTTATGTATTTTTAATAAAGCAATAATTATTTTATTTTTGAATAAAATATAAATTTGAAGATATCATAAAAATTTTAAAAAAAATATATCAATCTTAATATCAAATCAACTATTTAAAAGTTCTTATTTTTATGTAATTTCAATAATTTATTTTTGGTTTAATAATATAACATTTTATAAAGATAATAATTAAATATTCTGTTAGAACTCAATGATTATCCTAATTATATTTTATATTTTTATATTTAAAATGAGACGTTTATCTTGTATTTGATTATGTTTATCTGCAGTTAGTTACACGAATTCAGATATGGAGCTTTAATAAGTTGTACTTACGTACACTCTACTTGCAATCTTGAGTTTTAAATAATATGCATTAATAAACGATACTTTACGCATAAAAATTGATTTTTAAGAGTTTTGTTAAATGTTTTATAATATAGTATAGATAGCAGTTTACTGGCATGATAAAATTATAAAATATATTAATATATAATTAATGTTAAAAAAATAATCTATTGAAACTAAGTATAATTTTTTTAGAGATTTTTTTTTTTACTTTTGATTATGTATTTTAAAGTTATAAAGAATCATATGGACATATTTAAATGGGTATAAACCGTTGGAAGTTTGTAATTTTATGTGTATATTGACTTGTCGTAAAGTTAATAACGTATAATTATAACAGTTGAAGGTTTGTATGACTTGCGAACAGAAAAATTGTTTAACCTATAAGTTTTAAGTCACTTAAACTTATACGTCGGAAATTCTGGTCTACTTTTTGTTATAATTAACATTGCATGCAGTTTTAGCTTTGGTCCTTGCATAAACGGAAAACATGAATATTTAATTCGTTGTTGGATGGCGTCATAAAAAGACCCGGAAGTGTTTAATGCTTCCATGATTTATGGTAACAATATTTGTTTAAAGTATTTCTTGTACTAAAATTAAACATTTTGTCGGGTATTAAAACGATGCATGTTGAAAGATTAACAAGTTTTTTAGTTCTTCTTTTGTAAATGAGGGTTTATGTGTCAACTTATGTGCACCGAGTAATTTCTTAGACAATCACAAATTACCTGGAGTCGTCCTTAGGTGAATTTTTTAACAACAACCCCTTAGGTGAATGACATAGTCCAACTAAGGGGTTGTTGTTAAAAAGTTTTTTCTGCAAACATGTAATTTCAAGTTTAGGATATTTTAATGTTCAAAACTCGAGTCATGTTATTTAATGCAAACTCACACAATATTTGCCCTCAGGGCGTAGCATAATTTGGTTATTATTTAAGTCTGGTGACCACAATGCGAGAATTGCAATTTCTTTCAAAATTGGGTTACTTACAGGGAACTGGGCTCTTAAGCATGTCACATGGTGAGCCAGTATGTACACGATTTACCTGTAACATGAGCTTTGCTCGAGATTTTGCTTCAAATTGTATATGATTCCACATTGATAATACTTGTTCATACGAATTTTATAAACAGTTCTAAAAATTGCTTATTGCGATCTAAAAGGGCTTGAGTTAAAGTTTTGTTTATACTAAAGAGATTATAAAATATGCATAACATACAAAGGGTAGAAAATTCTGATTCCAAATTTGGTATCGTGGACATTAATTTATAAGAGAATCTCCAACTGTGTTTATAAAATGGAAAAAATAAAAAAAAAATCAAAATGAAGAAAATAAATTTCCTACAAATTTGGAGATTTATCTGAACACTTTATTTTGTTAATCCAAAAAAAGTAATTACAACCAACCGATGAAATAAAAATGAAAAAAAAAAAAAAGAGACAAAGGCATTGTTTGACAAAAATAAGGTAATTTATTTTTTGGATATACGCTTGGATGCATATAAGCTAGTTTGTAAGCTAATTTATAAAACACTACTTGAAGTAACATTTTGGATACTTGTTGTCACTTTTTTTCTAATTATGACTCGCAATTAATATTAATTATTATTAATTATAACTAGATATTAATAAAATTTATAT